TGAGAGTCATGTGTAGTGTCCTTCTTTTTGGAGTATATGATTTGCCTGGAGCCTAATCTCCTTTGCCGTATCAGGTGCACCTTCCTTCTCTTGTTTTTTGTTGTTGAAGGCTACCCTTGCACCCATGTAGCCACAGTAGCGTGTGGTCTCTTATATTTCCATGGACTGAAATGAAAATACACCTATGACTCGACAGGGCTTCAACCCGAAAACCTCTCGAGTCTTGGTCCCACACTCTATCGACTGAGCTCCTCCAACTTGCCGAAAGAATCCTGCCGTAGGCGATTCGCTCCTACGCGGTAAGAGGGTAAGAATTTGACCAATGATCATTTCGAACCAGTCTGCTGGAGGTGGCTATGTCGTGCCTTACCGTACCAAGCGCATAACTAATAACTGTCGCTTTGTAAATAAACTGCCCATCATCAATGGAAGGAAAATCATTGGAGAGGAATGACTGGGTGACATGCATGGTTCCTCACGTTTCTAGCAGCTTCAAGAGTAGAAAGCAAGTGACAGTGTATTGCTAACCTGACGTACAGCAGCAGGGCGATGCAAAGCAGGTAGCTGACCAGCAAGGAGGCCTGCCAGTGAGAAAAAAGCGCCCATATCGCCGTGACGAGGATGTAGCCTACTCCGTGTGCGAAGGCCCACAGCAGGATCACCTGCCAGTGGTACACTGAGCTGATGATTTCCAGCGCTGAAACGATTTATGTAGTGGAACGTGATTGGCGGGCGACGTTCGATTAATACAGATCAGCAGGGCTGCGGTTTTAATGCCACTGGCGAATAAGCCGGTGAAAAAGCGGAAAATCATCAGCAGCACGTGCAGCTGCAGGAACGGCGATATGATGCCGCAGATGATGTACAGAATGGTGCACACCACGACCACCGGCTTCCTGCCGAACCTGAAACGTCGCACTGTAGAAAGTAGAAATACAGCCGGGCGTCGTCGTTCGAACGCTACGCACCTCTTGCTCAACAAATAGAACAGGACGATGCCCATGCCGCTGCCCAGGGCGAAGAAGCCATTGAACGCCGATCTCAGCCACGCCCTGGCACACACCACGCTGCGCTAAAAAGCAGACACCGAGCAAGTGAAGCGAACCGGCGAACGTTGCGCATTTTTTTTGTCGTACGTTGTGATGACCGTACTCGGTGTGCATCGATTGGATGAAGTGCGTTGAACAGCCGTCTTGTGGTTCGATGCTCGCCAATCGCTGGTCGGTTTCGTACCAAGAGATGGTGCTGTCGTTGGACAGTAACCAGGGCTCAGCGCTGTGGTTTGTGTACGGCTCGGTCGAATTGCCATCGGGGTCGTTCGGCACCGTACCACCGCCTTCCTCGAACAGGAATACGCACAACAGGGCTGACCAACAGACGAACAGAAGCGACGGCGTAAGGATGAGGAACTGAATCCGTTGCCAGGCGCCGAACCCTCCGATTCTGTACAGCAGACGATTCAGGCGTGTGGTGTTCATGCTGCCGCGGTGAATATTATTTACGCATGGCCCGAGCGGCGCTGAAAATGAGTTCAGAACAGGCACCCACCAATCAACAGTCGTCCCGTCATCGCGCCGCTTTTAATATCGTATGCTTCTTGAGCCAGCGTCCCAATTTCGCTGATGGCCGAGGCGCTAGAATCGTGCAGAAAGAGAATCAGCTGCGGCCGGTGTTCACTCGATCGATGCAATACGCGCTAGAGTCTATAAACAACATTGTCAGCCAGTGATCAGTTACCTGATGCGGCGAGGTACCGTCGTGCACAGAGGCGACGGGACAGGTCAGAAACGATTTTCAAAAGCACCTCTGTTTCAAACTTTATTTCTTCTGTTACTCACTTTTTTTGCACATGAGGTTAAAGCACCGTGTAAACGATAGTAGCGGTCTGGAAGAGTCACAGTCGAAACTCATATTTGCAATGTGACCGCGTGAACTGGTCAGACAGGTTGCTGATAACCTACTAGTCACGTGCCTTATTTACTCACTCAATCTCGCTTTCACCTGTGATCAAGAAGTGGGGCTTTATACGTTCAGAAGGTGCTATTACACCAGCCATCAACTAAAACTCAGTTATCATCGGCAAAACATTGCCGTTTTCACACCTACGCATTCGATGCATGCAAAATGCAATCTCAAGAGCGGTATACAGATTAGAGGATTCAAGGGTTGAAGCCTTTGTTCAAACCAGGCATGGAGATAAGCGATCGCCTCGCCTGCGCCAATCAGACTGCAAACTATGCAAGTTTGGTGGATATAGAAGTATTCTGACCGGGCCTTTATTCTTCTGACCATTAACTTGATCCACTGATGCTTTGGTAATTTCCTTGAGTAGCGGCATCCATAGGATTCTTAAAATTTCCTATACCTATTCAATAAGGCAACTGTTACTGCATCTGAGGAAGAGATATGCGTGTTAATCATTCATTCATTATTCACGCTGACCTTCTGTTCAACATCTGGCCTGTTTCCATTTTTGTGTGGAATTTTCGAATAACTCCGCCACTGTCGGTCTCAAGCAAGGACGAGAAAGGAGGAGGGTTGGAGACCGTGGCAAGTCTCCGTAAAATTCAGCCACCTGCCACTCATGGT